ATCATTTTTGTTTTTTAATCATTTTTAAGTATTTACTTTTATGTTTTTTTTTAAGATAGAGAAGTTTTGATTTTTTATGTATGAGATCTGTTTCCCTTTTTAGAATTTTTTACAAGTAGAAGATTTTCTTCTCATCCTAAAATTATCTATTCCTTTATCTACAATGTCTTCTATTACATTGCCTATGCCAATGGTTACTTTATTAACTTTTGAAGAAAAACTTCAGTATATTTTGATGTTTAGATCTGATGTTTAGATCTTTCTCCATGTGCTAAAATGACTCTTTAATAGTTTTATTCCTTTGCAACTTAGTTTTGATGACATCTTTATCATCTGTAGATATTTTTTTGGTTTATACAAGGTTTTCTTCGCAGAAAACCTTAGGAAAGTAAAGGTTAGATGGTGATTTTTAAGTTATGAGTTTTCCTTTTTTTAAAAATTGAATTAATGCTTGATGCTTGGTAAATTTGCTCTCACAGTTCAGATTTCTGGCTTATACTGATAAATCACCAATGTGTCTCTGTCCACGTGTGTGGTCCATGAAGATCCCACACACACTCCTCTCCTGCTTGCCTGAGTTCCTCCCACGGCTCATTGTCGGTTGCCAATTTTATTTCAGCTTACACTGTTTTTCTTATATCACTAATGTATTTCCCTACATCTCTTTCAAATCACGGAGGATAAAAAGCTTGAGAGACACACCTTATAAGAAAAGTGCAACATCATAGAGGTCCAGCCAGTACCCGCAAATTAAAAAACAGTCAAAATGTAACAGTTTCAAAGCCTTTTGTCTTAAGTGAATTGTAAGTTTTGTTCATGCATGCTTTTGATTTTTAATGAAAAGAAACATTTTAATGGGTAAACAGAAAAATATCTGCCTTCCAATTAGGTGTAGAGTTTTTATTTACAGGATTTTGATTTAAGTGATGTTTCAGGAATATATTCTAGTACCTGTTAATGAAACATTTTAATGGGTAAACAGAAATATCTGCCTTCCAATTAGGTGTAGTTTTTATTTACATGATTTTGACTTAAGTGATATTTCAGGAATATATTCTAGTACCCGGGTCCTGTCTGTGAGAGCTGTTGTGAGGCTTAATATGTAAGTAATGTATGTTAAGTACTCACCATTGTGCATGACTCAGTCTTGGTGTGAAAACACTGTTGTTATTTTTCATTATGTTAATATATGATACACAGTGTTATATAATACATAGTAATAAGTTTTAGTTTATACTTTTGTTGTATCAAGTTCTTATGTGTTCTTGGTCAGATATGTCAGTATTATGCTACCTTTATTTAATGATAGGATAACTGTCATTTTAATGTTCTGGAACAGTTTATAGGATTTTATCTATATTTATCTTTTATTTCAAGTTTTGGAATATCTACCAAATTGCCTGACTCTAGTTCCTTTGCTAGGTTATTCTTTGTCAACTTTTCCCTGTTTCTTTTTGGCATGGATCATTCTATTCAGGTCATCTGTGTCTTCCAGAGTATTGACTTTATGATTTCCAAAAGTAATTAATGTAAAGTATCACATACATTTTGAAAAATAATTTTTCCTATAGTGGTAACTGCATTCCTTTCTTAATCTCTTCCTCCTTAATTTTTAGACTTGCCTATTTGCAGTTTTAAAAGACTGATTCTTGAGGGGTTTTTTTAGATATTTTAAATTTGTTTGTGGAAATGTTTATCCATGCACAAAACTAGAGTTTGGTATAATGAATCACATCTTACTCATCCCCCAACTTGGAAAAATTATCATCTTCCTTTGGATTTATTTATTAACTATAGTCATATTTTTATTTTGTATATTTTTCCCCCACAGGGTAGTTGTAGTTTTTATAACTTTATTAAATGTCCAATTCTTTAATTTTATTATTTATTTAAAAAATAATTTCAAAGAGTAATTCAGGCACTTTTAGGAAGTGAATTTGATGCTAAGCTCAAGTTTGACAGCTTCCCATTATTTTTACTGTCACTATTTTGTATAGGTTATTTACTTTTTAAATGTATTTAAATGTTATTTTAAATATTGCTGTGTTTTAAATTTCTATTTTGAGCATCGTTGGTTCTGTATATAGTTCCTAATTGCAAGACTTTTACATATTTTTAGTAGTCTAGTTTTATGAACAATTTTGTAGACTTGACATATTTTACCCTCAAAGAGTATGTAGTCTATGATTGTAGGGTTGTGAAAGTAATTAGGAACGTTAAAAAATTATAGTATTCAGATAATCTACTGCCAAGCAATAGTAATTGGCATCAATTAAACGCCAAAAGGAATCTCCAATTAGTGTGAGGTGAAGAAGGAAACTATTCAGTGAAGTACAAAACAGCTCAAATGTGACGCACCACATCTGTGAAAACAGCACTACTGTGATTTGGCCCTGGGGCCAAATTCCTCTCCCGCTAGACAGCTCTGCTCTCTCCCGGGCCAGTTTGCTTTGCACTGTGCTGGTCTTGCTATGCTGTGCTATACACTACTTTGCTTCATCCTGTGCCAGTCTGCTTCCTCAGTCTTTAGTCTTAAGGGGAAAGGTAAGCATGCTCCCCAAACTAGAGAGGAGCTGGCTTATATAGACAGAAGTCCCCACTCCTCTTCCCTAACTGGTTTATCCTCAAGGGAAGGGGAAACTCCAAATCCTCACACTCTGATTGGCCACTGTCCTGATTGGCCAGTATGGAGTTTCTCTGAAGAGCATATAGTTGTGCAGCTCTGATTGAACGAGGGAAGCCTCAGCCCTGTTGTTTGAAACAGGATTCCAGGAACTCCTTTGTAAGGGCTGGCTCAGATGGCAGAAACACAGTGCAGAGGCAGTTCAGTGCAGAGGAAGGTAATTCAAGGTAATTCAGTGCAAGCTTCTCCCTGAAGCGCAATTTATATGAGAGGCCACTATGCAGAAATGGCTGCTAGGCTCTGGGTTTTTTTTTTAAGATTTTTATTTATTTATCTTTTAGAGGGGAGAAGAAGGAGAGAGGAGAGAGGGAGAGAAACATCAATGTATGGTTGCTTCTCATGTGTCCCCTGCTGGGAACCGGCCTGCAACCCAGGCATGTGCCCTGACCGGGAATCAAACTGCGATCATATGGTTCGCAGGCTTGCGCTCAATCCACTGAGCTACACCAGTCGGGTGGTGCTGTGTTTTTTTTGTTTTTTTTTTTTTTTAAGTTTGAGTTCAGTTAAGCCACCAGGAGCCCTTCTTAGTAGGTATATTCTTTCTCAGGGTTCACACTACTATTTTCATACTTATATCTTTAAAATACCAAACCACTTAAAAAAGTAAACTGTCAAGACCTTCCATTTTGATCATAATCTATCATTTACTTAGCTTTCTCATTTTCTTCATTTTTAAAGATGCATTTTGTGTCTGTTCTTTCTGGTAAGACATACATTGATACAAATCTTAAACCTGATTTTTTAGAAATCTAAATATTAGATATATTTGCTGAGTTGAGAGGGTATATGTCAGAATCTTTAGAACTTACTTATGAATCCTGAGTTTTTGAAGATTGTGTGCTTATTAAAAACCTTTAGCTGAAATGTATAACTACTCTTCTTACTGGTTGTAATCAATATGAATTAGTAATCGGATCGAAATACTAGCAAGTCAGATTTAAAATAAGCAAGTGTTGCATTACCACTGCACAATCAAATTCAGGTATTGTAACGTTGATTTGAGCCTGGCAACTAGTTTAATAATTATACTTAAGGAAAGTTAATGGTGATTGGCATATTAGTTTATAAAGAGATTTTGACAGAATACTGTAGTGATGCTACAGCTTCTTATGATTCTGTTTTGAAACATTATCACTTGTGTATTGTATACAGAATATGCCAATATTTTGTGGTAGCTAACCAATACTAAGTTGTTATCTGAATAATATCTTTAGAAGTTTCCAAAGAGCACTTCTGTATCCAATAATGGTGTTGTGGGTCATCAGGAGATGTCTACAGTCTACTTTCAAAAAGCTTCTCACAAATTTTGACCTTCTTAGGGTTGGAGTGCAGCCCTCTTTATTGTTGAGTGAGAAACATGATTTACCATCTCTGGTTACGGAGCCTTGTGGCGAGTGGCTCTGCTGCATGTTGATAAACTCATGTCTCAGAATCTACAGTGAACATTATAGCTGCCATGTGAACTGAATATTTATTTCAAACTGACCCATCTGTTATTTCCCTACACAGAGTGTAATATTAATAAGACACACAATTTTAAAAGGTTGTGGGAGGCCTACAGGGAATTATTAAATTGTTTAGTGTCAAAAGGCATTGACAATACTTTTATGCCATTACATTAATCACAGGAATAAGCTGGCTACTGGACTAAGTGCCAGGCTGGGCATAGCTTCCATTTGCTTATGACGTTTCCAGATTTTCTTACTGGCAAATCCCGTGTTCTCCCCTTTAGATTGAAGTATCTCCTGTTACCTTATTCTCATATCATGGCCTGTGAGTCCGTTTGCTTCTTTAAGGACACAGCACGTCTACTCTTAATTCCTTCTGTGTTGAATTTATAGTTTAACTGTCACAGGGCAGAATTATTATTTTAGTTGTTTCAGAATTCTTCCCTGCCCCTTTTCCCATTGTAGCCTTAATGATATGGGCAGATCTGTAAAAAGCCTTACAGGATTTCATACATGCACACAAATCTCTTTTCTTTTTCTTTTAGAAGTATTTTATTAATTTTCTGTTGGCAAATTAATAGAGATCTGCTGGCAAAATTTCACTCCTTGTCTCAGGAAAGATTTTTAAGTAATATCAAACAGTTGGTTAGGTGATTTTTATTTAAGTGTTTTATACAATTTTTCACCTACTCTTTTGAAATAACTGATTTTCTTCTAGGAATCTGGGGTGAGGCAAGGTGATGGAGAGGAAAGAAGTGGAAGACCAAAGTTTTAAACCTAAATATCTCTTAGATGGGTGCTTCCTTATAATCCACATAAGGCCTTGGCTTCTTTTTATTTTAATCTGTAAGCAAACATTTATTTTATAGGCAAAAATAACTGATAACAAAAATGAAGACGGCTTTGAAACAACAGGATGAGAGACTGTCTTCAGGTGTTAATGCATTTCTTTGCCTGTAAAACAAAGGAGTGGGAATAAATTAGAGTGGAAAACTCAAATGCCTCCTGGCTAGGTCAAGACTGAGACCACCCCATGCCCCATTGGAGGAAGTCATCAACTTCTTGGCTTTTTCATCATGGTAAGGAAATGCAGGCCTGGTGATTCTGTATCATCTTACTTTTCAAGAGAAGCTGGAAATCTGGGCTTTTATATGAAAATTCACTATTTAAAATGTTAGCAATTAGTTTGAAATTTTTAGAAGCACTGTATAAGACCAAGCAAAACATGTCTTAAGCCAAATCTGCTTCAGATACCTTTGGATAAGATGACTGAGGTCTTTCTGAATTAATTTTTTTTTAATTTTTAAAAAATATTTTATTTATTTATTTTTATAGAGAGGAGACGGGAGAAAGAAAAGGAGAGAAACATCAATGTGTGGTTGCCTCTCATGTGTCCCCCACTGGGGACCTGGCCTGCAAACCAGGCATGTGCCCTGACTGGGAATCGAACTGGCAACCCTTTGCTTCACAGGCCCGCGCTCAATCCACTGAGCTACACCAGCCAGGGCTGAATTAAATTTTAAAATATTTTATTTATTTATTTTTAGAGAGAGGGGCAGTGAGGAAGAAAGAGAGGAAACATCAATGTGTGGTTGCCTCTCACATGCCCCCTACTTGAGACTTGACCTGGCCTGCAACCCAGGCATGTGCTCTGATTGGGAATTGCCTCGGTGACCCTTTGGTTCACAGGCCAGCGTTCAGTGCACTGAGCCCTACCAGCCAGGGCCTTAATTAAATATTTTTAATGTCTGTTATTCTGACATTCTTTCAGAGGAGAACATACAGTGTCATGGCTCTTGCCAGAATAGTACAGAAGAGTACAGAGGTTGGTTGGGTTGAGAGACTAGGTGTGACTCTTTATCCTTCTAGGAAGGGACAAGAAATTGTGGGAATCTAAAACACTAGCAGTGTTAGCTACTGCTCCAAAGAAGCTGCTGTTTACCATCTGGGTAGTATCAATTTTGAACTGAAGCAGCTGCAGCTAAAGTTTTGTCCCAGTTTTGCTAACTGTACAGTCTCCATTACAACAGATTATCTCTGCCATCTTAGTGTGAAAGCATCCATAGACAGTCTGTGTGGGGCCCTGGCTTGTGTGCCTCAGTGGATTGAGCACCGGATTGTGAAGCAAAGGGTTGCCAGTTCAATTTTTAGTCGGGGAACATGCCTGGGTTGTGGGCTGGGTTCCCAGTAGGGGGCGTGCGAGAGGCAACCACACATTGATGTTTCTCTCCTTTTCTTTCTCCCGTCTCCTCTCTATAAAAATAAATAAATAAAATCTTTAAAAAGAGTAGGTGTGGTGTTGTTCTAATAAAAACTTAGTGTTTAAAAACAGGCAAAAGGCCGTATTTAATCTACAGGCTATAGTTTGTCAATCTCTGATTGAGAACATTGATAGTTGTGCTAGATTGAAATGTTAATCAACAAATATTCACTTACCTATGCTTATTTCTTTGGATAGAGTTTACATCTGAGTTCTGCTGCCTGTGGGTTTGGCCTTGAGATGTATTTTGGCCAATAAAATGTGAGCAGACATGATGTTATATAGAGATTTTACATGTGTTTACATGGTCTAGCTACTCTTGCTAATGTGCTCTTGCTAATTGCCGTAAAAAGAACATGTGTCAGGCAGTCCTGATCCAAGGAGGCAGACAGATGTAGAAAGAAGACCTAGACCCCCACCCACCCAACAGAGTTTGAAGTTCTGCTAAGCACAGCCTGTAGCAGAGTTGTCTGGCTGATCTAGGCTAGGTGAGCTGAATTTACGGTAGCCTGCTGACCTGTCACCTTGAGAATAAATATGGATCGTTTTAAGCCATTGAGTTTTGGGATGGTTTAATACAGCATGAGTGTAGAAGTAGCTGGCTAATATAGCACAGTGGAGGATAATTATCCATTTAGATAAAACAATAACTACATGAATCTTGTTTTTAAAAACCTAAATAACAAAAGAGAATTCTCAATCTCCTCTCACAATGCTGAGAAAAAGATAAGGGAATATTTTTCTTTATTTTGTAATTCTTGACCCCACCCTTCATCCCCCATGCTTTCCCCAGGATTGGAGAACTCTTGAACTGTAGATTTTTGTTTCTGCATGTACAGCTGTTCAATACTTACAGAGGCATAACTTTCCTTAAGCCAGCCCCAGAAAATATCTCAGTGCTACCAAACAAAAGTAAGGTTCAGTTACCCGCTGTTGAACACAAGCATAAGACAAAGGTTGGTGGGGGAGGAAGAAATTTTTGTTAAAATGTACCATTTGGAGGAAGTGGGGATTCCCTTTCTCCAGGATCTTCTTTTAGGCAAAACACAGAAAAAAATGTTTGTTCCCCAAAAGACTGCAACCCCAAACCATGCCCAGAAATCCCCCTGCATTCTTAACTGCCCTACAAAGCCCAAGGCTGCTAAGTGGACAGCTCTCTGGCTTCGGTCTCCCTGGAGCCTGTGCACACAGCCTGCACTGCCACTGCTTCCCAAACTAGAGGCCCAGTGCCACAGGCACCTGCTGCAGCCTGTCCTGCAGGGGCTCCGTTCATGGGGCCTGTCACCCTGTCACCTGGCCATGTGGTTCCCAGGTCCCACTTGGTCCTGCAAGTGTTCTGGCCTGCGCAGCTGTACACAGATCCCAGAGGAAGAGAAGGGGCGAGTCTCTGGCCTCCCTCTACTTTAGTCTCCTGGCCCAAAATGCTGTGCGCTCTGGAAAGGTTCAGCTGCCCAGCCAGTCCTGTTCTTTTCCCAGGCAAGACTGGCAGGTCAGCACCTCCTGCTGCCACCATGTTAGCCTCTGGTACAAGTGCTGCTGTAGCCTGTGGTTTCCCCCTTTAATCAGGAACCGAAAGTGGGTAGGAGGGCTTGTCCCTTCATCTCTCACACTCTAGCCCTGTGCATACTCTGGGCAAGGCTTCCTCCTGCCACATCTCTGCCTGGGGCAGGGGAATTTGTCATTTGTCCCATCAAGCACAGCGCTAGGTTGGTTACAGGGGTGTTGTGACACTGCCCAGGCAGCTCGTTTACCCAGGGAACACATCCTCTCCTGCTACCTTGGGGCCCTTCTCCTCTGCCCAATGATCTGGCCAGATCTACCTGTATCAACATTACCAAGAAGTAAATATTTAATACTTAAATTATATGAGAAAATATCCAAACTCTTTCTCAGAAACAAACAGTTGTCTCAACGGAGGAGACTCAGCAGAGAATTTTGAGATACTGCTCTGTGCTGCCCTCTGTATTACATCTATTAGGTAGAATTTATTCAGTCAACTTCTGTTTCATTCCTGTTGTGTGCTGTGTACTGTGGTAGTCCCTGTGGGCACAGGGGCATGCAAATAAAAATTCAGGACCTTCTAGGACCATATCCCACAGTAGCAGAGACAGGCAAGTAAATGGATAATTAAGGTACGGCGTGGAGAGCAATGTAAGTGACATGTCCGCAATCCTAGGGAATCTTGGCGGAGGTACACTTGCCTCCGCCTGGGGATTGGAACGTGGGGAGTTTTCCAAGGAAGTATTCCTGAAGGAACTGACACTTGAACCAAACCTTTCTGAAGTCCTATAGCTGTAGAACATTAAGGGTCTCTCACTCTTAAGATTTCATAGAGTCAGGCTGCTCAGAGCAGTCTGTGCTTTGGATAACTTTGTTATTGAAGCTATGTAAATACAAATTCTAGCTAATTAGCAGTTATATTTTCATATAATGATTCTCATTTTCCCAGTCAAGTATATATCATTGTATAATGTCAGTTTTTTGTTCGGAATGGCCTCAGATTCCTAGGGTTAGTGATTTGCTTTGTTCTTTTTATTCATGAGAAGTGGGTTCAGGGAAGGAGGAATGAGTGAGACTAAGAATGATCTAATTACCTCGGGAATGATTTTCTTCCTAAAACAGTTCTGAGTGTTAATTATGGCTTTGTTGACTTTTCTGTGCCGTTTAATGGCTTTAAGATTTTAAATTAATTTTTTAACCCTTACCCAAGTATATATTTATTGATTTTATAGAGAGAGGAAGGGAGACAGAGAGAGAAACACTGAGAAACATTGTTTGGTTGCTTCCTCTATGTGCCCTGACTAGGGATGGAACCCACAATTTAAGCATGTGCCCTGACTGGGAATTGAACCCCTAACCTTTTGGTGTATGGGACACCACTCCAACCAACTAAGCCGTCCAGCCAGGGTTTGGAGGGGTACCAAACTACTTTTTTTGAAGGAATGGTATGAATGAAAGTGGATGATTCATACAAGTTATAGAAAAGGTAAAGGTAACTCCCACATGCATGTGCTGCTTGTACTGCTTTGTTGACCAGGGAAGTCACTCCTGTGGCTGTGGAAGGCAGCCTGAGGCTCAGCTGTCTGTCCTGCCTCCCAGAGTGTGCTTGTCAGAGAGATGCTGTGCCATGCCAGATTCTGGGGCCCCCAAACCGGATAGGTTGGGTTACTTGGTCACCCAAGTCTTTGATGGATTTCATCTGCTCATGCAGGTAGTGAGTCTCAATGAAGTCACATAAATGAGGGTCGTGTTTTTCAGTGGCCAGCTTAGGCAAGTCCAGTAGTGACTGATTTCACACTTTTTCCCAAGTGTAATGCACACTCCATTGTATTCAGCCCATCCTCCTAGTCATCACTGTCTGGTTCTTGATACACTGAAGGAAGATTCAGCCACCTCGTTGGTTCTACAGCTTTAATCAGTTTCTCAACATGTTTCCTCTCCTTATGAGATTGGTGAAGGAAATATTTGGCAAAGTTCTTCAAAGCCACATCATTGTGGTCAAAGTAGTAAAACATGGACAGGTAAACAGAGGAAGCATGGAGCTCCAGGCTGATGTGGCGGCTGATGGCAACTTCTGAGACCTGATGGTAGTTCTGGCACAGCTGCAAGGTAGATGCAGTTGTCATGGTGGGTGACTGAGGACAGGCGACTTCGTGGCACAGGAGCAGTGGCGGGGGCCTTGGGGAGGTCTGAGGATGCTGAGAAGAGGTGGCAGAGGGTGGATCTGGGCGTTGGCGAGGACGGGGTTGAACGCCAGGTTCTGTGCAAGCATTGGTGAAGCAGGAAACCACGGTGACGGAGACTATAAAAATTAATTTTTAAATATGGCTGCTAATTATCAGACTGGCTTAAAAATTATCTGAATTTCTTTTTCTTAATATAGCATCTGTTATTGCAGAAATATGTCTATCTTCCTCCAAGTTAGTCTTAGAGAATAGCTCATGTATCTTTTCCATTCTGGAATGTGTATTCCATTAAAGAACACATATTGCTTAAATTCATTTTTACTTTTTGTTTTAGGATTAACTTTAAAAGTTCTAGCTGATGAACTTGGTATTTTGCAAGATCCATTTTGAGAGCAAATGTTTTGGGGAATATGCCATTAGTATTCCTTCTACTAGGATGATGTTGATTCATTGAGACAAATTGTGCAGAAATACTTCAGTTTTGGGAATTTTATGTTTTCTTTTACAAAGCACTGAAGTGTATATCTGTTGAGCTTTTCACAATGCTTTGCTGATTGGCTGACTCTGAGGAGGCAGATTGAGTGGCTGAGGTGCTGTTATGTACTGTTGCCCAGATGAGTTAAAAAGGGAGAGAAGAGCATCAGAGTGTCCTGGGACATGTGTCCAGGATGCTAAAACAATTACATTGGAATTTTAGTTCCTCCTGTTGTAAATATAATATGTGCAAAATAAAAGATTAGAAAAAATAGAAAAAGCGAAAGGAGGGGAGGTATAATCTCATCAGTCAGAGATAGTATTAGTATCTGATATATTTTATAGGCACATTATTTTAGAAGTATGGTTTTGATATTTTACACAGTTATTAACATACTATGTGTATGTGTGTATTCCATTTAGTGTCCGGATTTTAATCTAGTTACCATTATAACACATTTTTCATGTTAGTATAAATGCTTTATAAGTATATTTTAATGACTGTACTGAAAGTATACCATCACTTATCTAATTATTCCCCTATTGTTAGATATTTAGGTTGTTGTCTAAATGGGTTATTATAGATATGATAAAGTCTTTTTTGATAGAGATTTTTATTGAAAGAGAACACATATACAATTCATGTATGTGTACATGTACATAAGTGTACAGCATTTGAATTTTTCACAGGTCAACACACCACTGAAACTACTGCCGATGCCAATACATTTTTACTAAGTGAGCACAGCCACTTCAGCATACTCAGGCCAGGAATTAAAACTTGACCAAGCTTGTGCCTCTTGTCACTCTTCCCTCCTTCTGTCACCAGGAAGTAATCATTAACCCCACCTCCAATCCCAAAGATCAAATTTTGCCTAGAAGGTCTACATTTAATTTCCTTCAGATTTCCGAAAGAGGGTTACTAGATTAAGAAGTATGAATACTTTAAAGTATCTGAGTTCATATAACAAATTGCTTTCAAAATGTCATGTTATTTTATTATCACACTGTATGAAAATATGGAAAGGACTTTTGTTTCTGAGTATGGGAAGGGAGAGAAATGAGGGTCAAGTGTAAAGTGACAGAGTTCTGGACTGTCAATTAAGAACCAAATGGGATCATATTACATTAGGGAAATTCCAGCAGAGTTTTGAAGTTTTATTTTACCCATCTTGAAAATGTTCTTATGTTCTTCTTGCTGGACATTACTAATTATTGTGGGAGAAAGAAAAGAGCCTGATGAACTGTGTGTGCACTTGTTCGTAAGATCTGGATTCAAGTGACGCACAGACTCCTGCCCATGTTACGTTGGCCAAAGAAAGGCTCATGCAATCAATAGAGCCAAAGGTATATAATATAATCTTCCCACAGGGAGAGGTGCTACAGGGAAGGAAGCGGGAATGTACGGCAAATAAAAATACCGATCAGCACACCTTCCATTTGATGGCTTTGCCTCCCCTATCAGGGGATCAGATCATTTAGATTACTGAGTCTTGCTGTAGAAGCACAGCTTGGCCTTGCAGGGAGGAGGTTCTGCATCTCCACATAGAAGTGTAACTCCTGTAATCATCGGCAGGGCATTTGCATGTTGCTGAACTTTTTGTTTTGCGGGGTGCATACTTGTTTCCTAAGGAGAGGCCCAGAAATGTGTATTCACTAAGAGGTGATGGGGAAATGCTTAATTTGGTGCTTTAGATACCTTTGGTGGAAAGCAGTTCCTCTTTAGGACGCAAATTTTTATAGCTGGTTTATACATACTGGCTACATGCTGTCTGGGAAGTGATTCAGTTCATGTTTCCCTACTCCCTGTGGAGTGACACAGGACTGTGGAGGTTTTTTCCTTGGCACAGCAAGAGAATTGGCTTTGCTTGTTCAGCAAGAGGCGCCAGGTTATCGGGCACACCTTTGTGTTGTGGTTAACATTCTGTCTTTATCCTTTACTGCTGTAAATTTACATTCTTTTTTACTGTCATTCTTTTAAATATAGCTACTTTGTAGTATTAATTTTTTATTTTTAAATACACTTTATGATTATGCTATTGTAGTTGTCCCATTTCCCCCCTTTATTCCTCTCTTAAGAATAGGTGGTAGGTAAGGCAACAGAGAGTAATGGAAAAATGGGGACAACTGTAATTGAACAACAGTAAAAAAAAATCTTAAAGAATTGTTTCTCATTTCACCTTCTCTCTGTGTCTTCACTGAACATTCTGATGCTCAGAGAAACAGCTACATGGTGGTTGGCGGTAATGCTGTGGTATTAGGTGAGCTCTGACTTAACATGGTGTCTCTCTTTTATTCCCTAAAGATTTCTTCTCTCCAGGGATGGTGAAGTTGGGAAAAGGCTCCTGTAACTCCCCTCCAGAATGAACTCCCTGCCAGAAGACATGGAGAACACTCTCACAGGGAGCCAGACCTCTCATGCTTCTTTGCGAGATGTCCACTCCATCAACCCTACACAGCTCATGGCCAGGATTGAGTCCTATGAAGGAAGGGGGAAAAAAAGCATATCTGATGTCAGGAGGACTTTCTGTTTGTTTGTCACCTTTGACCTCTTATTTGTAACATTACTGTGGATAATAGAGTTAAATGTAAGTGTTTTTTCCCCCATGACTATGTAAGAATTATTTCCAGAGACCAAACATAATTTTCTTATTTAAAAACATAATTTTCTTATTTAATTATTTCTTTAATTCTCACCTGAGGACATTTTTTCCATTGCTTTTAGAATGAGAAAGAGGGAGGGAGGGAAGTCGATTTGCCACTTTCTTATACACCTGACAACCAGGGGTTGAACCCACAGCCTGGTTATGTGCCCTGAGTGGGAATTGAACCTGTGTCCTTTTGGTCTGTAGGACGATGCTCCAACCAACTGAGCCACACACGCCAGGGCTCTTATTTTTTTCATCATTTCTGTCTCAGTGAATTCCATTTTTTTCCAGTTGAGGCAACATTGGTCTTCTCCAGCAGAGTTGGACATTTTTTTCTTTACTCTTATGCTTTAAACCAAACCTAGTTAATTTAAAACTCATTTTGTCTGGGATTTTGAAATTTGAATTCGTGGTGTTTTGCTGCATAACAAGAGTTGGCACACTACAGCCTGGAGGTGAAATGCAGCTTGACTGCTTTTATAAATAAAGTTTTACTGGAACACAGCCCTGCCATATTGTCTGTGGCTGGGTTTTATGCTGAGTGATTGACTTGAGTAGTTGTGACAGAGTCCCTTTGTCTTACAAAGGCAAAAATGCTTATTCTCTGGCCCTTTTCAGAAAAAAATTTCTGATCCTTCCTCCAAAGAAATGTAGCATGCTTCTGGAATCTGTTCTAAATGTTGCATCTACTTTTCTAATTCCCATACTTTAGAGTTTGCATGTATTTACTCTATCTTTTTGCAAGCAGATTATTAATTTATATTTTATCAAAAAATGTTCTAGAAACATTTGGAGGTTTGTCTATATTTTGTCAGGTTGATGCAGTTATATTGTTAAGTAATTGTCTAAGCCAGTCATTTTCAACATTTTTCATCTCATGGCACACGTAAATTGATTTCAAAATTTCTACAGCACACCAAAATATATATTTTTGGCCGATCTGACAAAAAATAGGTATAATTTTGGCTCATTCACATCAAACGACTATTGTTGTGTTGGCTGTTGTCATTTTTTTTTTATGTGACAATCTTAAGGGAAAAGAGGTCAGTCAGCGCCCTTGATTAAATAGTCAGGTATTGCATGCTTTAAAAACTCTTGTGGCCAGTTTAAAAACTCTTCTCTAGACCAGTTGAAAATCAATGGTCTAGACCAGTGCTGTCCAGTAGAAATAGAATGCAAACTTCGTGTGTTATTTACGTTCTCTAGTTGTTACATTTATTTGATAAAAGTAAAAGTAAACAGGTGAAGTTTACCCCTGGTGTATTTTACTCAATCCAAAATAATATGTTTTCTCCAAAAGCCTTGGTTTTCTGTTTACCTTTCTTATCAACAATAATAGGTAAACTCTTCCAAAATGCTTTTCTCCCAGGCAAAAGTGGTCTGCTTTCTTCATTTTCAATAGTTCATTTATTTCTAAGACATACTTGTTATGTCCTAGGTAGTAATAGTTATTGGTTGTTGTTTTTTTACAAGATTTTATTAATTTATCTTTAGAGGGGAAGAGAAGGAGAGAGGGAGAGAAATATCAATGTATGGTTGGTTGCCTCTTGTGCCTCCCCTGCTGGAAACTGACCCGCAACCCGGGCATGTGCCCTGACTGGGAATCGAACCGCCATTCTTTGGTTCTCAGGCCCATGCTCAGTCCACTGAGCTACACCAGCCAGAGCATGGTTATTGTTTTTTATTAAGAGGTTACTCTTTGCTAGGCATAGTGCTAGGTGCTTTATGAGAAATTTATTAAAATAGAAAAATATGAAAAGATGTTAAGATTCTTGTTTGAAAGGAATTTTTTTATTTTGCCTTTTTATATAAAGAGTCAACATCTTAATCTAAACTTCAATATTCTGATTCATAACAGCAATTTTAGTTCTAGACTCTTAGAAATTAGGTTAACTGTACTTATTGAATTTTACCTTAATAGAGAAACAAAACTATATTGGAAAATAAGATTTATTTCAGAATCACAGTAATATGCAGCATGAATCTGTTTACAGTTTCTGTTTACAGAGTTTTCTTCTGTTAATGTAGCACTATAGATATGCCTTATTTTTGTTTAAAAGCAACAAACCACTGATATGACACAGTAATTTTGTATCTCTTTTATTATGTGTTCCATATGTACACATTAAAGAAAGTATTTAAATTAATGTATATTTAAGGAGTAATACATTTTCAAAACTAAAAGCTATATAATGAGAGATGAGAGAGAGATGCATCTTTTGACAGGACAGCGTAGCAGCAGTTTGTAGGGGGCACACTGGAAAATTGGTCACAGCACAAATCAGGGGCCTCGTTGGTTTACCACTGATCTCACTACGTGCCTTCAAGTGACAGAGGCCATGAGACGGAGCTGTGATCACAGGCTCTCCCTTCTCACTTCTTTTTATCACTTCAAAAAAACTGAACTGGAAGTGCAGTGGACTGCACTTGGTCTCACTCATGAGACGCTATGCAATGTGTTATAAATGAAAAATCACCAGCCAAAGAATTAGGAAATGTATTTTTTATCTTCACTTTTCTGTTGACTTCTAGTTTCCCCGGTTATAAAATTAAAAGATCACACAAAGTATATGATCTCTAAGACAGTACATCATGACTTTTTAAAATACTATTTAAGAAAAATTAAATTCCTAGTTCAGTTTGTTTTAAATTGTCAATTCTGACTTGAATTTTTCACTACACACTGTACCATCCATTTTCTTTTATCTCTCTAAATCTCTAATCATTAAAATTAATTTTTAATTACTGTTTTTTTATTGTTGTTCAAGTACAGTTGTCTCTATTCTTTCCCCACCACTCTCCACCTCACCCACCCCCACCTCCCACCCTCAGTCCCACCCCCCTTTGGCTTTGTTCATGGGTCCTTTATACAGGTTCCTTGACTACCTTCTTCTTTCCCCCATTATTTCCCTCCTCCCTCCCTTCTGGTTACTGTCAGTTTTTCCTTCTGTACCTTAACTGAGTACCAGGTTACAGGCTGCTGATTCAAGTGTTACGAGTTCTACAGAAAGCTACATGAGATACAAAGTTTAGCTGAGGAGATATACATATCTTACATTGCCTCTACTGTTGGTCGTTAAAAAAAGAAAGAAAAAGCATAAAGGGTACTTAGGCCTTCAGAAGCATATGGGGACCAAACTGTTCTATGCAATCATAACAGTAACATAATACTTGGCTTTATGTATGACTTCTGCCTAGCCACTTGTCCTTGGTCCAGAGAGTCGACAGGCACGGACCCAGCCTGGGGTACGGGGACTGGTGAGGCTTATGCCACTGTGGTTCATTTTCCTGTGGAAGGCCTGAGGGCAGCTGATGTTTGGGGCCAGTTGAAGGGGTGGTTCTGCTTCTGTGTAGGGCCGCCTGATGCACCTCTGAGTAAACTGGATGCCCGAATGGGTCTGGAATTCACCAGGGCTTGAGTTCCCTGAGGACTGTTTTCTCTCCACACCCTTCTCCCTCAGGCTCTTTAGACTGATAAGGACAGGGATCTAAAAAGCAATAGAAAGGAAGTTGTGTTTTTTTTTTCAGCTTTTGACACTTTGATTGAGATTATGGTTCAAAAAAGGCCTTTGCTTATTTTATTATTTTCTAACTGGTATAGTAGAAAGTGTCAGAATGCTTCTAATTTGACCAAGAACAATCACGACTAGTTCTGTGGCCTTAAAAGGCAAGCCATTTGACTTCTCTAGGTTTAATACCTATCTTGCCTCCCTTGTGAATTCCTGTGAGGATCAAGTGAAAATATATCCTGTATAGCAGCCCCGTGGAAGTTTTAAAACGCTTCACAGTTATAGGTTATGTAATTTATTACTAACTGAAATAAATTTTTCCTTGTACGAGAGGGAAAATGGTTATTATTCTCTCACTATTGTTACATTTGTGTTTCAGGTACTTATTACCCTCCTGTTTCTGATTCTGATTTTATTACCCGCTGTCACTGTGTTCTGTAGTGACACTGTGACGACCGATGACGACAGAAATTCAGATTAGGGGAAAGTCAATGAGTTGGAATTATCCGAGGAGTAGGTGGAGAAGATGGACTGAACTGGATGTGGAAGGACGGGTGGAATTTGGGATAGAAAAAGGAACTGGAGTTAGTGTGGAAACAATGGGGGAAGGGTTTGGAGATCAAGGTGAGCAGAAGCACTGAGACAGGAGTGTGCGCTTATGCTGGTGTGTGTGTGTGTGTGTGTTGGAGGAAACGGACAGAGGAAGGGTATTAGCCTAGGTAAAAAGTATCTATAGAAAATGCCTGTAGAAAAATGAACTTGCATAGGTAAGCTGGTTCTAAACTATTAAATGTTCTTTCCTGTGCAGAAATGTTGCACTTGGTGTAATAGTGAGCTCTTACAGGTTCTAGAGAAGCCTAGAGACATGGTTTTGAGATGTTAGTGACTTGAGAAGTTAGTGACTTGCAATATCATGACCTACCTGCCATGTCCAGCTTGATGTTTGACCTAACATGGTCTCTCCCAACATACGTCCACTCCTGCCTTTCCCTTTCTTCTTCATTAGTAAACTATACCCAGACACTCAGGCCACAAGTATAGTCTCATTTCTGATTGAGTAGCTTGTTTTGTATTTCTCATGACCTGTATCCAGTCTGAAAGTAAGTTCTGTCAAATCTACTTCCAAGACCTAAAGCAGTAGAGAGTAATTTAGAAAGTGAGGGAAGCCCTTTTGTGAATTGTTTTCTTTCAGAGTATGTATTTCTAGGATTTTAAGCCTGGGCTAAGTTTTTTTTGCTTCTACAATAAAGTTTTAGGGCTTTTTTTAATTTAAAATTTTAGTTTGCCAAAATATGAACTACAAAAAATACATTGTTTTTCATTATACATTTACATTTGTTGAATGAATTCAGAATTAAGTGAGGACTGTGATTCAGCATTTTTCTATTTAGAAGTGTGAGGGTTCTATATCTTAGCATTTCTGGCTTCTGAGAAGACAGGCAGAAGAGTGTATGTGAAACCTTACTTGTATGTTTCTTGTATAACTTTCACATGTAAACCTCTTTTTGTTTTTACTTCTTCCTCTCTCTTCCTAGGTGAATGGAGGCATTGAGAACACATTAGAGAAGGAGGTGGTACACTATGACTTCTACTCTTCTTATTTTGATATATTTGTAAGTATTTTCTCCTGTATATTTCTTATATATTTTATTTCAGATACGATGAGTTAACCAAAAGGCAAATTATTTTTTAATAGACCTCAAAATTTGTGCAGTTCTATTTGTTTTCTCTCTTGAACTCTACTGTGTGTGTGTGTGTGTGTGTGTGTGTGTGTACTTCCTGGCCAATTCTGTGTTGTTTCTTTCTTAGAATTGTCTGTTCATCTCAAGGATAAAAAGGAATAATGAGAGGTGAGGGAGGCAGCAGAAGCCGTTATGATTTTCTTGGAGATAAGCCTTTTTTCTCTTAAATGGCTGAAAAAGAAGCCATTTAAGTTCCTAGTTAATACTAGGAATCACTAGAAGGAAAATTTATCGTTTTATGTAACAACATCATGAAATGCAACTTCTTTTCTGTCTCAGCATACATTTCAGTGTTTTTTAAATAACAGTGTTTCATTTTTCTCTGATGGAATTTGAGGAAAGTTATGTATTTGCAGCCTTGGACCACATTAGCCAGTCGTACAGTTACGTAGACGCACTTGTCTGCAGATGAGGCAGGCGTTTTAGTCAAATGCATGCTGGCAGCGTCTTTCTAGGAAGCACTGACTCTGGGTTTGCTACATCTCCATGGGCTCTCCTCATAGTGAAGGAAATCAGAGGTCAACATTGTGTTAGACACAGCACAGACAATTAAAATTCACAGTGAGTTCCCCCAAGTTCATTTTCACTACTCTATTCACTGTCTTTAGAAACTGCGTGCACAGTGGTCACAAATAGGACCCTTAAAGTCAGAAAAACCTGGGTTTGATTCACAGCATTAGGACTAGTTTTATATCTTTGAATACACTAGGTCTAAGTTTCAGTTTCCTCAGTATTTAAAATGAGATCATCAGCATTCTGAGAAGCTGGTGAAGTAATACATGGAAAACAGAAGCTCAAATAACCACCTGCAGTCACTGTCATCATCATTTATGGTTGAGAATTTTATTTTGTTTTTGTTTTTTAAAGATTTTATTTATTAATATTTATAGAGACAAGAAGGGAGGGAGAAAGAGAGGGAGACAAACATCAATGTGTGGTTGCCTCTGTGCGCCCCCTCCTGGGGACCTGGCCCGCAACCCAGGCATGTGCCCCGACTGGGAATTAAACCAACAACCCTTTGGTTCACAGGCCTGTGCACAATGCACTGAGCTACATCAGCCAGGTCAAGAATTTTATTAATTATATTTTCTAATGGTTTTCAAACAGCTCTGAAAAGTCTTGTTTTGTTTTTGGAGGGGCCTGCACAATCCTGTATGGGGAAAGAAGTAGAATTCTCAATAAGCAGAGGTCAGAGTTCCTCGTCATCATCCCCTTGCTGCCTGACTAGTTCCATTTTTATCTGCACAGTATGTTAGGGCTTATCTTTTATCTGTATAGTATCTTAGGGTTCATTTTTATCTGTGTAGTATGTTAGGGTTCATTCTTATCTGTATTGTATATTAGGGTTTTTTACAGTGTGTAAAGAAGAAAAGGTGTTTTCTGCTACAGAAAAGTGTTTTGGCTTCCAAAAGTGTTTGGAAAATTACTAATGTAAGAAATTAAGTTTCATGGTTCAGTGCCCTAGGTCATTGAAGTTGGTGGCAGAACATGTTATATTCCAAATCTCTTGATATTTATTTTTTGAAACTGTTGATATATAAACAACAAAATTAATTTTTCTTTTGTTCCCTTTATTGCCCTTGCTGAATTTACCTTAAAATAGCCAGAGTCAGGAATTGTCCGGAAGCCAGATTAATCGACCGGTTAGATCTCCATTGGTTGTCTGTACCCTAAGTTTAGGGATTACTGGACAAATAGGTAGGTAGGGCCTGTTAGCTTAGATGGGAAAAACTGCCATGGGCTCGGGTTTTTCCCAGCATGGCCTGGGAAAGGGGCACAGGGTCCAAGAAACCTTGGGATCTGGGAGACTTCAAGATAGAGACTTATCCTTTTGCCAAGTCCAGAACACAGAGATAGACTTTAGAATGAGCAGAGAAGCTAAATGATTAGGAGATTGTTGGAAAACAACAGAGTAAAAACAAAGCAGCAGAGTAAAAACAAATACAGCTTGGCAATGTCATTCATGTAAAAGGATCTTATGTGAGGTTATCTAGTCTACGGCAGAAAAAAGTTTAGCCTCCAGCCTTTCAGCAGTTTTGATTAGTAAGGAACTATTGGCAGACTCCGGCACTGAGTCTCAGAAGTCGGCCTGACTTCTTCCATCTCAGAATAAGCATATTTCCCAAGTAAATTTGGTAAACTTTATTCTGTTTATTTCCTAATCACTAAGGCAGCTGTAGTATAGTGGTTACGAGTCTAGTGGTCTTTGCAGTCAGGGTACCTGGATTCAAATCCTGGCTTCCTCACTGAGGAGTGTGTGGTTTTGGACAGTTTTTGTATCCGTCTTATCTGTGTAATAGGTTTGGTGATAGCACTTGACTCATGTGGTTTTTGTTGTGGGAATTACATGGAATAATAATACACTAATGAGTTTCACAAAAGTCCCAGAATTACCCTAAATAATCAGACAGTAGCTACTGGCACAGGCTGAGCTCTTGCAGTACCCCAGCACCCCAGAGCTTTCCTGTGGGCTTGACTAAAAACCTGATACCCTTCAAAATCGAGCATTTGTACCTGAAGTATGAAAGTCAACTTTTAAAACATCTTTTCCAACCTTAAAAGAATATCAAAAATATATAGGGACTCTAACAGAAAGAAAGAGAAGCATTTAATTTATGTCTTTTTGTTGAGGATGGGAAGTTGACTCGAACACTTATTTGGGTGGTGTTACATGAATTCTAGAGCAGGGGTCTCAAGTGCTAATCTGCAGACCAGCCTTAGTCTGTGGCAATCAGAATAACGAAGACACTTTGGTGGGTTCCTCCTAGATCTAAATTACTTACCTCTTGTATTTTGTATGTATTTTTAAAAACTTGTCTTTTTTTAATATAGCTTTTGGCAGTTTTTCGATTCAAAGTGTTAATACTTGCCTACGCTGTGTGCAGACTGCGCCATTGGTGGGCAATAGCGGTGAGTACACCCGGTGAGTGGTTCGTCTCCTTCAGTGCTGGTGGGCTGGGCCCTGCTCACAACAGGGCTGAGCCGAGAGGAGAGGCTGTTTCCAGCCAGGCTAAACTCTACCAGCTCTTCCTGAGTCCCTTTCCTCCACACTTCAACAGGTTTAACGCTCCAGGGCTTCTTTCCAGTGGTAGTGACTGACTAGGTTGGTTTGTATGGGTACTGAGCCAAAAGAGAAATCTAGAGTCCCAACAGGATTTTGGCCAAGCACCAACCTACCCTGTACCTCATTTTACAGTGAGAGGTAAGATCGGTACTTCTGTCACAAAGATACTTAGAAAATTTCCTGTGGGTTAAAACTGCTTGGTGATTTTTTATTACTTGCTCTCTGCTTATTTTGATAATTGCCTTCCTCCCTGTTTTATTCCTTTCCCTCCAGTTTTAAAAGGAAAAGCTCTCAGGCTCCTTTTTATTATTGCCTTTAGGCTTCTTTAATGCAGTGGCCTTTTTTTACTCATTTGTTTCATTGCATCTGGCATAGATCTTTGACACATGCTATTCGCCCTTAATAAATGTTTACTGATTTAAAGAGTTGTAAGCAATTCTGCATGAACTGTTTTTGCCATTTCCTTAGACTTCTGAACACTCACCTTTCTGAGAGCTCTGATAAGGCTGGTTGATGATGGGAGTGCTGCTTAGGAGTAACCCACGGTCCTGCTTTTGGAGTGTGAGACCGAGGTCTCTGTGTGTGGGTCGGCATAGGATTGTCCAGCAGTCCTAAGATACAGTGCACCAGTGGCCACCTCTGCCTGGGCGATCTCTTCTGAGCTTCCACAGAATCGTTAGACTATCAGTTGAGCCCCAGACTCCCGTTTCATGGATGTGGGCTGACAGTTTTAGCCAGTCTTGACTCCCTCTCTTAAATACGCTTTTACCAATATCGAATAGCTGTGGTGATTGTCCCTTTCCAATTTGCTATCATAGTACCTATTTGAGTCTCTTTAACATGCAAAATGCACTAGTATTTGTCAGTCCATCTGCTTCAGTGTTTTTTTCCCACTCAGAAAAGTGGTTGACACTCTGTGAGAGTTTTAAGAAACTTATCTACAATATCTAATTGTAAATGATCAAAGCACAGGTCAGATTTAGCACATTCCTTTTATTGTTTCTGATTTTTATTTTTAAAAACATTTGTAGAAAGGGTCCAGGCAGCCGAAAGAAGTGAGCCAGCATCTAAAGAGCACTTAGTTTACCCTGTAAAGTTAATTAGTATCAGAATGTAGAATGCTTCCTCCACAAAGTGGCTGGTTGTGCCTCCTGTATGTGCTCTTGTGCTAGCTGGTTGTGTTTTTGCTAACAAATACTGACTCTGTAACTGTTACTACTTACTGAGCATGACACCTGATATCCCCTGTCCTCCATGCTGTCAGTGAAGGCCACTGTTCAGCATTTATTTTGGTTGGGTTTCACATTGCTACAAATCTTAGAGGATAGAATGACAGGGGCAGGTCCTGGGCCATAATTCTAACCCCTAGGGGGAGCCTTGCCTCTGTGTTTCACTGTTCCTCCTTTGTGATAGTGTCTTTGGGTAAAACTGTTTCTCAACACACCAGCTTGCTAAAATGTGGGAGAAAGGAAGCCATGAGAGCCAGCCTGGGATGGTGTGCCACCTAGAAGCCCACTTCGCCCCAGCCTGGGCTTAGGGAATAGAGGTAAAGTGATGTGGGAGAGAGCCAGGCTGGGCTTAGCTTCCTCAGGCATTATGTGCTTCTGGCTCAGGTGGGTCTGGTGTGAAGAAGGTGCCCCTGCAGTGTACAATGTCTAATTTGAGTGGTGCTGAATTATGTGTCTTTCAGTTGACGACAGCAGTGACCAGTGCCTTTTTACTAGCAAAAGTGATCCTCTCAAAGGTATGGCCTGCTACTTTTTCTGAATAATACCACCTATAATGGCAAGACCTCTTTTTCCATTGTGAGCTCATGGTAACTGTTTCCCTCTGCTGGTTACATCTGTTCTTCCAGCTTTTCTCTCAAGGAGCTTTTGGTTATGTGCTGCCCATTATTTCATTCATCCTTGCCTGGATTGAGACATGGTTCCTGGATTTCAAAGTGTTACCTCAAGAAGCAGAAGAAGAAAACAGTAAGTTTGTCTCAAAGTTATCCTCCTGAGACTGGCTAGATACTCAGCTGGATTTGCATGGGCCTGCAGATGGGTGGAGTTAGGTGGTTATGATGTCTCCTTTGTTAGTGGGTATAGCAGAAATCACAAGAAGGGTTGGATGAAAGGATAGTGAGAGAGCGTGACTCCTTTCTTCAGCTGTCAGACCTGGCTTCCTTCGAAGAAGTGTGAACACTGGTGAAAAACTCATTCAAACAACAAAAATAGCCAACACCTCTTTCTCCTCAGACAGGTCAATTTTTTTTCTCCCTGTTACTATAACCTTCAGGTCACTAGGCGCTTTGTGTATCTAAACAGAACTATTGTCTAGGGACAGAGAAATATAAGACCGTTCCCAGGGGAGCTGAGTCAGCAGCTAAAAGTCAGTGATTATCCCTAAAGTTTCACATGGCTATTGATACAGCTAGTGGCTTTTAATGGGCTACAGTTAGAATGGTTGAATGCCTGTTGGGTTAATGATGAAGATGGAGTTTGGGAGCAGGAAATAGTAAGCCATGAAATGCCCAGCCACCTCAGGTGTTCACTGTCCTCCTCTGAGCAGTTGAGTGACAGTCAGCACTGCGGAATCCTGAGTCCTGCCAAAGCCCTTGTAGTCTCCCGGTGTGGCTTTGAGTGTCCCTGAATGGAGTAGGAAGGCTGAGTGATTCACTGAGCTTTATGATGGATTATTGGGCTGGAGTTCTTTTCTCAGTGATGACCTTAGTGGAAGCCCACCTACCCCATCCAGCCTCTTGGAGGTGACATGAAGCAAGCTCAACAGGAAGACTGAGACAGGATTAAGGCTGCTTTTTATGCTCTGTCAGTCCTCTAGCTCTGTTTGCTCTGCCCAATAGGAAAAAAGTCTTGTGTCTTATGTACAGTTAAACATGATTATAACCTCAAGGCACAGCAGAAGGGCAAGTACCCTTGCAAATGATTTTCTTTTGGAAAATCTCATTTACAAAAAAGAAATATCTAAGAAAAGAATTATTCAAGAATAGGTTTTAAACCACATTAATCAGACCAAGTTGTTTCTGTCTTGTGCTTTCTTTTCCTTAATGAAGGAAACATTGATGAAAACATTGTTGGGGAGGGACCTATAAAGTTAATGGGAGTAATTTTTTAATTGTATATAAAGATCAAATTGAACTTTATTGTAAACAGAACAACTGTTAATGTGACTGAGGCCTGAATGCTTATATGATTAAACCAAATTCAAAATAACTAATAAAGCAGAACACACAATTAATGAAAAAATTTACAGTAGCATTTATTTTCATTATCTGTAGCACATTTTACACACATACCTGATTCCTGCTATTTGGCCTGGGGCAATTTTCTGAATTTCTTTCTTAACTCAGGTTCTGTCAAAAGAACTCATTACTGACGGCCTCTCTCACCAGCTGTTAGTGTTCTTGACCTATCCACATCATGCTTCCTTTTCTTCTGTCTTTTTTTAAATGCCTTTCTTTTCTAAGGACTTTTTAATGGATAAATACTTCACCATCGTAATTATTCTTTTTATATTTATACAAGTCTGTTCATTTTTTCATGTTTCACATCTGGCTTTTCTCTAACCAAATACAGCCTATTGGCCACTTGTACGAGATGACCAAGTTTTGAATTTTGCTTTGTGTCTTGATTTTGATATTATTTCTGTAGGGAGGATATATTCTCATGCAAAGATTCTTTCAGTAGATACTGAAAGAATTGCATGAGTAATGAGGCAGTTTTTAAAAACTACTTGCAATCTGTTCCTACAGCACAGGTTCATAGTTTATTAATAAAACTTACTTTTTTGGTTAAAAGATTTTTAAAGTACTTCTTTTTGATAAGAGTTTTTAAAAATATATAATATTAACATCATTTTATTGTGGTTACTCTTGCATAGAAGCTACGGGAACAAATATCTCCTTCTCAGCATCTGAATTTCTTCTGTTTCAGGACTCCTGATAGTTCAGGGTGCTTCAGAGAGGGCAGCACTTATACCTGGTGGGCTTTCCGATGGTCAGTTTTATTCTCCTCCTGAATCTGAAGCAGGTAAAAAAATTAATTATCATTTGTGTTTTTGTGCATTACTCAAAAAAGTGCATGCCCCCCCCCTTCTACTTCTCAAAACACTTAGCAAACATTTCCTATACCGGGTATTTGGGATTTAAGAATAACTGAGAAATGGTCTTGATATGTGGTCAGTGGTAACAGAGATATAAAAATAAATGGAATAGAGTGCCAGAGACAGTGAGTCTTGTGATCTGCATCTCAAAGACAGGTGAACAGAGACAAGGATCTTGATGTTCTCTTACTTGTCACTCTATAAACTGACCCTCCAGGTTCTCCCATGTCTTAGAATTTCCAAAGTCAGAAACCAGAGCCTCCCTGGGGACTCTACCCATTTCTTGGCTCACATCCCATCATTAACCAAACCATTTGACTCTTTTTATTTCTGCTTCCTTCATCGCATTAAAATTGTACCACTTAATTTTGTCCTGAACTTCAGTTTATCCTTTCTTGCCTCAGTTTCTGCAACAGCCTCTCTCTGCCTTAGTTGCTTTCTCGCAACCAGCCTCCAGATGCAGTGTTAAAAATAACAATTGCATTGTTCTAAGTCACAGGTGGGAAACACAAGGCCTGTGGGAAGAATCCAGGTGGCACCTTGTCTCTACCCCGAGGCAGCGCCAAGAGCTCTCACTTTACTGTTATGGAGTAGTTACATTTGTACAGTCCTAAAATTACATTTGGCCCTTCGAAGGCAACCTTGAAGCTGATGTGGCCCCCCGGTGAAAATGAGTTTGACACTCCTATAAGTGTTCCTCATCACTACCCTGATAATAAAGGTCCCATTATTCCTATTCAGAGATGAGTGTATTGAGCCAAGAGAGGTGAAGCAATTTGTCTCACATCACACAAAGAATTAGAGGTGGTGCTAGGATTTGAACCCTGACTCTAGTGCTGGAGTCCTCGTTCAGAGCTGATAAATATACAGCTTTTTAATATTAATAAAAATTAAAAATTGATCACATAATTACTTTGCCCAAAAGCCTTCAGTGGCATCAAGGATTAAAAAAGTCACGAATCCTTAGCCTGGCAGAACACACTTGTGTGACCACGCTTACCGATTGTCCAGCCTCTCCGTTTGTCACTTCCCTTGTGTTCTCTTAGTTTTTCTGAAAATGCTGTGCGCCAAATCCCTCTCAAGCCATTGTGCCTCTTACTTTTCTCTGTCCTTAGCACTGCATCTCTGGAATCCTGGTCTCCTCTCACAAGTTCAGAAGGATTCTCCCCATCTCCCACCTACGCCCCTGGCTCCTGGCAGTGGTGGGCAGTGCATCCTCTCCCTTTGCCTGGTCTTTGGAGCCTGTCCCACAACCCTGTCAGTCTTCATGGTTGTATGCACTGTCTTCGGCAGCGGCTTGGCCTGTTTCTGTCACTGAGATACAAACTTCAGTTTGAGGCTGTGTTATTTTATTCCCAGCATTAGGCTTAGTCAGTATTTTAAACACACACACACGTATGTGCAGTATAGTAAAACACACTCCAGACAAAAGAGACACGTGGAGGTCAAAGGCACAGCAGTGAGACAGCATATTAGGGGAACCTGATGTTACTTGATACTCTGGACTATTTGTGTTGGATTTAAAAGCAATATAGAACACAAAAGCATAGAGTCAGATGATATATGGATTTAACAGAAAAGCTCTTTCTCAGCAGAAACTATTAGAGGTAAATAAACTTTTCATTACCTCATTATGAGGATTGTTTCATTGAGACTTTAGCCAGTCATAGGACTCATTCCTTTAAAAAAAGTAGGTCTTTTGCACTATAGTTCATACTTTTGTGTAGCTTTTATTTTTATAAGATTAATGAAATTTCTCAGTAATAATGTATTTTCCTAATTAGTTCTGAATTACTAATTAAGATAATAATGTGAGGAATACTTCTCAAGCATTGTTCAACAAGGAACCCATTGGTTTCCTGCTGGTGCCCTTTACTACCACCTAGTGGTATTTGAAAATATTACTGTTTCTGTGGCTCATGATACTGAACAAGAACAACAGATAGTTTTGTAGTGTTCCCCTGGGGAGCTGCTAAGACAAAATGCAGGTTAGTAGAGACCAGAGAAGAAGTGTATAATACAATATACAATATAATGTATTATATTTTATCTTATGTTCTATTATTTTATTGTCTGAATACTCAATTTAGAAAGAATTAAAATGAAAAATTATTGTAATCAGTGTACCTAGTAAAGAAGATTCTACTCTCAAGTTTTCTCAGGAGGCTAGTAGCTTTGTATTAAACAGTTTTTCAGCAGCAGAGTTACAAGCTTCTATTGTCCCAATATAGCTCTGATTGGGCTGTAGAGGTAAGAGGGTACCTGGGACTGCTTGCCTTTTTTTATCTTGCTTTTTCTAGCACCTAGTACAGTGCCTGGCACATAGTAAACTTATACATTTTGAAGAAACAAAATAAAATAAAAGAGAAAGGTATTGCAGGCACTAAGAATTGTAATGTTAGCATTTTTCCTTGTAAAGGAATGACTTGAATTTTAATATCACAAAGATTTGGAAAATTAGCACATTTTAGTAGATATATATTTAAAGTATATAAAGGTGGTTTGTTTGCAGGTTTGCTCCTGGTCTAGCCATTTCCTGTTTGCCTGTATATTAAATGAAAAGGCCAATGAAGCACGGTCCTTTCTCAGGTGATAGGGTTAAAATTGTTACATGTGGTTAGACAGCTTAACTGAAGTAGTTGTGATGCTGGGCACAAGGTAATTCATTACCTCCTAAATCACTGAAACACTGACTTAAAATGAAGAGTACCTCAATTGCATGATACAGGGTGGGGCTAAAGTAGGTTCATAGTTCTTTGTATGGGAAATAATACAAAAATTAATAAATAATAATATAAGAATAAACTCTGTTTCCTGAACTTAAAACTGTAAACCTACTTTTGTCCCACCCTGGATAATGTGTGCTGAAAAAATTTAGATGAAGGCATTAAAATTTGAATTTAACACTTACTAAAAGTAACCATACATTTCGGTCTGCCTGCGACAGTCTCGGTGTGCTCCTGTGGCCCCAGGTGATCATTGTTAGAATTCCTCTTATTCTGTCAGAAGGTTCTTCTGGATCATCAGTTATATAGTCATCCTATGTATAGCAATAATTTGAAACACCATTTTTTCACTTTTTCATTAAAATTTTGGAAATTATTGAAAAATCATAGTTGAAGATACTAGGTAACATTCATTGTTAAATATTTATTTGTATTTTTTATTGAATGGTTGGGATTACCGGTTTCAAGTGTACACTATAAAACATCTACACACTGCATTGTACACCCAGTGCCTCGAGGAAAGTCTCTTTCCATCCCCATTTTCCCCACTTTGCCCACCTCCACTCAGCCAACTCTTCTACCCTCTGGCAATAAGTATAATGTCTGTGACTATGTGTTATGTATATATCTACATTTATATTTATATCTATATCTGTAGATCTACCTATATGTTTTTGCTTTATCCCTACACATTTTTCATCCAAGCACCCTTGCCCCTTCCCCTTTCACAGCTGTCAGTCTGTTCCATGTGCCCATGCCTCTGTTTCTATTTTTTGTCAGTTTATTAGATTCCACACATAAGTGAGATAATATGGTATTTGTCTTTCTCTGACTGGCTTATTTTACTTAGCATAGTGATCTCCAGGTCCATCTATGTTGTTGCAAAAGGTAAGATTTTTTTTTTTTTTTTATGGCAGAGTAGAATTTCCTTGGGTAAATGTACCACAGCTTTTTTATCCACTCATCTATTGATGGAGACTTGAGCTATTTTTGGAACTTGAGTATTGTAAATTATGCTGAAATGGACATAGGAGTGCATATATTCTTTTGAATTAGTGTTTCGGGTTTCTAAGAAGGATCCCTGGGTTGAAAGGCAGATCCATTTTTAATTTTTTGAGGCATCTCCATACTGCTTTCCACAGTGGCTGCACCAGTCTGCATTCACACTAACAGTGCACTAGGGTTCCCCTTTCTCCACATCCTCACCAACACTCGGTGTTTCTTGATTTATTGTAATAGCCATTCTGATAGGCCTAAGGTGATATCTCATTGTGTTTTTAATTGCATCTCTCTGATTATTAGTGATGTTGAGCACTTTTTCGTATGTCTGTTGGCTATCTGTATGTCCTCTTTGGAGAAGTGTTCGGGTCTTTTGCCTATTTTTTAATTGAATTGTCTTCCTGGTATTGAGTTCTACAAGTCCTTTATATATTATGGAATATATATATTTAACCCCTTACCAGATTTATCATTGGAAAATATGTTCTCCCATTCAGTGGGTTCCCTTTTCATTTTTTTGGTTTCGTTTGCTGTGCAAAAGCGTTTTAGTCTCATGTAGTCCTATTTGTTTATTTTTTCCTTTGTTTCCCTTGCCTTAGGAGATATATCAACAAAAGATACAGCTCTGACAGTTGTCTGAGATTTCACTGCCTGTGTTTTTTTATGGATTTTTATGGTTTCACAAATTACATTTAAGTCTTTTACCCACTTTGAGTTTATTCATGTATATAGTTTAAGTTGGTGGTCTAGTTTCATTATTTTTTATGTACCTGTCCAGTTTTCCAGTTTTGATGAGTCTGGTTAATGATGTATCAATTTTGTTTATCTTTTTAAAGAACCAGCCCTTTGAATTATACTTTTAGTCTGTATCTCATTTAATTCTGCTCTCATTTTGGTTATTTCCTTTTTTTACTCGCCCTGTGCCTTGTTTGTTGTTGTTCCTCTAGTTCTTGTAGATTTAGGGTTAGGTTGTTTATTTGAAATGTTTATATCTTTTTTAGGTAGACCTGTATTGCTATGTACTTCCCTCTCAGGACATGCAATATTTCATAGCATGTTATTTAGTCTCCATGATTTTGAGTTTCTTGAGATTGTTCTCTAGTTTCGAGCTGTTGTGATCCAAGAAGATGCCTAATATAGTTTCAGTTTTCTTGAATTTGATAAGGCTTGTTTTGTGTTCTACCATGTGATCTGTCTTTGAG